ATGTATGTCTCTGCGCAACCGCCGTTGAGCCAGATAGATTGTTTTCGTTCGTTGCAACAACTGGTGAACCAGAGCCAAGCATCGAAGCTTCATCATTCAACAAGGCATTCGTGAGGGCGCTGAACTTCATCGGCACAGGCAAGTCGTCATCCGAACTATCATGGTCTGAATACCGGCGCGTCTTAGAAGTCGTTGGTAGTTCTGCTGCCGGATTCCCATTCGCCGTAACAGCAGCAGCCTCTCTCCGCACAAAAGTCGGTCTCGCAAGAGGAACTTGTCGCAAGGCCTGTCTCGACGAAGGTCGGCGCATCGGCTGATTGCCGAAGTGGCTTGAGCCCAGGGGTGTTGGGGACGCGGTTGCCATGTCGGGCGGGCTTTCGCGTCGTCGTTGGGGCGGGTATAGAGCTATATGGTAGATTCAATGCTGGGTTACGGCGTGTGAGCTCTCCTCTTCATGGCCGAAAGGGTTTGTCGCTATTTGGGTTAATGGAATTATAGGTTTGGGAGGGAGGACAAAATTATCGCGTGGAATTCGAGGTCCGCGACGGGGTGGTCGGGGGAGGTGATTGGCCAAGTTGATACAGGGACTATTCTCCACTGTAAATACGATGACCGGGCAACGGACTCGTATCACGTGATATATAGATATAGAGTGGGGAGATACTACAACAGCGCGTTTCCAAACTTCATGATTGCTTTCGCTCATATTTTGGTGAAGCCACAGTCTTCATGAAAATGTTGATTCCTGTGGATAAATGCCATGTTTTCAGTCCCCCAGACGCCGTCATCCAGTCTCGTAATGCACCCGCTCAAACTCCCAGTAACTCTAATGCTACCGTCCTTCCATCATAAAGCCTCCGCGCTCCTCATACCACCAGACTCTTCACAACAAACTCCTGCACCACAGTTAGCTCATCAGTATTTCCACGGGAGCAAATCTCGCATACCGGATGCTTCGCCTGCAACTGTCCCATAATCCCCTCCACCCCCTCCGCCAACCCCTCCACATTAAAATCCCACTGCCTCAGCACCCCCCTCCCCCCTCCCGCGCCCCCTCAAACCAAATAACCTCCTCAATCTGATCAATCCTCCCCCCAATCTCCCCTGCTCAATCATCTTCGCCGTCATCTCCTCCGCCTTCTCCCCCCCCAATCCCCAGCAGCTCTCCCAGCGGCCCAAACCCAATATTCGCATACAGCCTACTGGCCGCCAAAAGATTATGCTCAAACATCGCCCTATCCAGCACCGTCAACCCATCACTCATCCGCGCAAGTTGGTGCTCCTGCAGCCCCTCCGCGAACTTCGCGATCTCGCCCGGCGCAATCACACGCTGCAGGTGCATGTTCTCCAAGATCGCAAACTCCTCCAACTGCGGCGCGCGCTCGTCGCTGTAGAGACGATTTAGGGCGCGCGAGCGGGCGGGGCCGGCGGGGGCGAGGACGGCGCATTTTAGTGCCATGGAGAGGGTGTGGAGTTGCTCGTCTTCGCCGATGGAGGGTCGTGGCTGATGTCTTCGTAGCCTTTTGCTGCGGCGAGGAAGTCGCGGCGGGAGTCTTGGATGCGGGCTTGGGAGACTTGGAAGTGGATGAGCGAGGTTGGGTTGGTGACTTCGTGCATGATGTTTTTGAATTTGTTGAGGTAGGTTTCGGCGGAGGTGGGGTCGTCGCATTCGAGGTGCAGACGCACGATGCGGATTAGCGTCGCTGCTTTGTCTTCCGAGCTGATCTTGCGCTGCGAGGAGTTGAGCGGGATAGCGGCGAGCATCTGGGCAGCGGAGTGGAAGTCATCGAGTGCTTCGTAGGTGTTTGCGAGGATCATGCGGAGCTCCGCGATCTGCTCTTCTTGGGAGGCTTGGTACTGTTCGATTTTGCCGAGCAGGGTGGTGCATATTTCGATTCGGTCGTTGAGGGCGAAGTCGGGGGTTTGCACGAGGAGGATGAGGCGCTGGCTGAGCTCGCGGATGGCTATGCTGCCGATGTTGGAGGTGAAGAGTTTGGTGATGATGGTGTCGACGGCTGAGGGGTCTGTTGGGCGGACATGTTTGGCGGAGTCTTCTTGCTGGTGGAGGAGCGTGTTGACCTCTTTTTCGACTTGGGAGGAGCTGGCGGATGCCATGGTCACAATACTGTCTGGATCAGGTTATTTCGAGGCCCAGAGCGTTGTGGTTGTGAAGATAGCTTCCGGGATCCGTTGCGTGTAAGGCGTGAGGCTACCATGGATGGGGCTTGACAAGTGAGCACCCACATCAGCCCCCCATTCGGCAGTTGTCAGCCTTGCCTCCCTGAGCTGAGCTTTTGAAAAGGATCGCCACAAACTACACATGGAAATGAGCTTCTCGCATGGCTGTAAATATCATATTAGAGAGCAACTAGGTATCCTCAATTACTAATAAAACTGCCGAACCTCTCATAGGCATACACATGTCACATTTATAACTCTTCAGTCGTCTGCTTCAAAAATGCTGCCCACGGGGCGCGTTGGATTATAGCTAATTACTAAATAATATGATCTCTCGCTCTCCTAATCCAGAGAGCTCAATGTTAGTTGAGGATTGTCCAACCATTTCGCCAGTCCCCCCCTTCTATGTATAAACACCCGCTAAATCAAACCCAACCCAATTCCCTGTCGTGGCCAAAAAACCTGACCGAGAACCACAAATTCTCGCCGAAAAGCTAATGCTCAGCCACGAGTCAAATAGGTCCTCCTCGGATCCGGGCTCCGCCGGGTCGTCTTCTCCATATCCCTAATAACCTTCACAACCTGCTCTCTCGTTCCCTTAATCGCCCAAGGCTTCGAGCGCGCCATGCCCGAGTGCTCGAAGTCGACGTACTTGAGGCTCGGGTGCGCGCCATCGACCAGCTCCTGGATCATCAGCGTGCTCAGGAAGACGCCGTTGTTGGCGATGACGGTCTCGAGGTGCTTCAGCTTGCGCAGCTGGTCGATGATGTAGATGTTGTAGATGGGACGGAGCTCTTGGGAGTTCCAGGACCAGGATTTGGGAGGTCGGAGACGTAGATGGTGTCTGTCCAGGCGGAGGGGGGGGAGTTGTCGTCGACGATGAGGAAGTCCTCGGCGAGTTGGATGCGGGAGATGTTGATGGTGCTGTAGATGTTAGTCTCTTGCTCGAGTTTGTTCTCTGGATGGTGTCGACTTACTTGAGGTACTGGCATGATTGAATGGCGTGGCATAATCCACCGAGTGGGATATCACGAGAGAGTGCCCAGGCCTCGAGGAAGGGGTTCGGCTGTGGATGTTTCCTGTGTGTCATCCGCCTCCTCGTCGGCCTACTCTCCGGCACATGCAGCCTCGATCTTCCCTGATAAAGATCATGGTTCCTAAACTTCCACTCCCTCCACCCCGCCTCCGGCTGTCTCTCAAACTGCGCAACCTGCGCAAACCCGCTGGCATCCAGCACCCTCACCCTATCACCATAGTGTTTCTGGTGGCTGACCGTATACGCGAACTGCGCAAAGCGGTAGGTCGATGCGAACAGAGGGGTGTGGTACATCAAGTTCGCCGCAGCCTCCGTCAAAGCCGAGTGCACCAGCATGACATCGCGCAGCTCCTTCTGCTCAAAGTCCTTGAATATAACACCCAAGACCTCGGTCGGGAGGCTAAGCAGCGTCGGCTTCGGTCCCTGCATCCTCCTCCGCGAGCGGACGGACGACGCAACTGACCTCACCGACGTCGAAGACGGCCTGCGCTTCTGCCTAACAACCACGTTGACGCCCTCTACCCGAGCACGCCGAGCTGACATGTTCATCTCCGGCGTTATGAGGGATCTGATGTTCTGTCTCTTTCCCAGCGCTCCTCCATCTCCGCCTAAGCCGCCCATGGGCGGACCGACGAGGCCGCGCGGTCGTGCGGGCCCGTTGCCGTCGACCTGTGCGAGAACGGAGGCATGGGCGCGGAACTTGAGGTTTATGGACGAGGCTCCGTAGGGCGACGAGGCTGAGAAGACATGGCGCGGCCCGAAGGCGAGAGCGTTGGAACGCTGCGATACCTGGAACGAGTCGTAATCTCTTCGGCCCCTGGCAATCAAAAATGTCAATATTCGAATCCTGTTTTGAATATTTGTGGAGGAAGGGGGTGAAGTGTTGGGGAGGGGGGACGAACATTTGAGGATTGAGAATGAGGGATCGACGCGAGTTGGTGGTGATATGATGATGCTAGTCTTTCCCGTTGTGGAATCGTCAGGGCAATCGGGATTGGGACTATGTATGGTAAGAACGACCCAAGGTCACGAGCACACACAGGACAGTTCAAAGGCTGGATGTCAAGAGTTTGTAACAACAGTTTTCACTATTTGGGACAGACTCCTTTTAAGTAGCGATGAGAGATGTGAAGTGAAGTGAAGTGATGTGAAGTGATGTGAAGTGAAGTGAAGTGATGTGAAGTGAAGTGAAGTGATGTGATGTGATGTGATGTGCGGTGAAGTGATGTGCTGTGATGTGATGTGATGTGATATAGGTCTACTTTCTATGTTCTAGCAGTGAAGCTGCGAGGGGAGAAAGGATGGTGCAGACGGGGTTATTATAGGAGCAGAGAAGCAGAGAGACAAAAAGGTGGTGTATGCCGTATGGTACATACGGGGGTATGTATTCATACGTACACCATACAGGAGTGTAGAGTTATTGCGAGTATATGAATACATAGTACCATATATATGTGATGCACCCATACACGCACCATCACGAGTGCCCAGACTCGTTAAATGATGCTATGGATGTTGTATGGATTCTCTATGGTGGAAATCTCACCGCAACTCCACCCACTGGATTGCTTTTGGAAGGGGCTGTGCTACACGCCTCCTCGTAATAACGCGCCAAGCAGCGAGTGAGTCAACCGCCGATAAATGGCGGATACACCGTTACAAAGAGGAGAAGGGGGAAGTAGTGTTGGCTGTACGTTGCCTTGTGGCGGATACACGTTACAAAGAGGAGAAGGGGGAAGTAGTGTTGGCTGGTACGTTGCCTTGTCGCGTGACACAATAATGAACACACAACATCGCATAATAAATGTGTGTGGGATCCAGGCCCTGGTACAGATATGATGAACTGATAGTTCATCATATCAGTCCATCATATCAGTCCATCATATCAGTCCATCATATCAGTCCATCATATCAGTCCATCATATCAGTCCATCATGAAAAGTGACGGTATGTCAATATCTCATCGAACAGCAGGGTTACTGCATGCCACCTTACTATCCCATCTTACTATCCCATCTTACTATCCCATCTTACTATCCCATCTTACTATCCCATCTTACTATCCATCTTACTGCCCCATCCTACTGCATCCCATACTGCATCCCATACTGCCCATCCTACTGCATCCCATACTGCATCCCATACTGCATCCCATCCTGCATCCCATCTGCATCCCATCCATCTCTTACTTCCCATCTCTTACTCCATCCCATCTCACCTCCTTTCCTCCTTTCCTCACCCATCGTCCCCGCAATGTCTCAACCCCCTTCTTCATCTGGTCTTTACTCCTCCATAGTACCCACCACCCATTTCCCTGGGAGACTCAGGGGACGCAAAGCACCCACACGCTGACAAGATGCCCTACGCTTGCAAGGTCCTTCGGCTGTCGCCTCCGCTGTGGCGCTCTCTACTGCGGACTATAACATTAACAATTTCCGAACAAACTCGTGGGACCTTTGAAAAAAACTAGGATTATTTTTCCAGACCTTGCCAAGTACACGGGTGAGCTGACCCTCAGGCGTTGGCTCAGCTGATCTGGGAAATGCTCCACTTTTATGACTAAACCCTGCCACGTTGGCCAGCTAAGCTCGCGTAGCAACACATGATATGGTCAGGTAGGGCGACAAACGGAAAACGGTTTTATAGCCCCCCCACTCACAAAACTTATGAACATAACCCCCGTATATACTTAAGCTAATGCATTACTAATGCATTAAGATCGAAACAACCACAGTTATTTCAAGCGATGTTTTAGTAACAAAGCAACCCGGGTAATGAAGGTAAACTATACAACAGATTTACCAGAATACCCCGAAACATCTGAAAATGGGGTCGCCTATATCATCAATACTTCGTTAATGACACCAGAAACAGTGTATGCTATGTGTAATAATGTGTGTTCATTGTTAATGTGTTATTAATGCATTATTAATGCATTATAGGTCTAATATTGCCATAAACAACTTCAGCCACTAAAGCCAACCCATTGTAGCACCCTTAACAATGCTTATTGTAAAAGGATGACTTATATTTGCATAGGTATAAAACATTGTGAATATCTTCATCTACAGTTACAGGAAATGCACCATATAAGGCTATATGACGACAATTGGAAAAAGATTATTCAGCTCTAGCAAGAAAATATCACTAAGTCTATTCAAAAACAAGCAAATAGCTATGAATACATTGTTAATGTATAGTAAAGTATTAACAACATTTAGTTTCATTCTTTCTATCCTCCACCTGTTTATAAGCAGGATAGCATGTTAGAACCAAGAAGGTTCATGTAGCCTTTAACTTGTCACCTTAGAAAATGTAAGTAAAGCCCTAAATTTTATACGAATACATTGTTAATATATTAGATGATTTAAACATGCACTAATATTCTATTTAGTGTCAGCACTCTATACTAGCAAACTATCACTTCTTCTAACCTATTCCTATGCTATTACTATGTGAAAAGACTTGGGAATATCTAAGGTGAATATGTAGAAATGAGAGATGAAAACCTCTAAGTCCTTCTATTAATTAGGCGACTACCTAGCAACCCTATACAGTATCTATTTAAGGCTTCTGGCCTAAAGACCTCCATCCTTCCTTATGTAAGGGTGTAATAGGATAGCATGCTAAGGCCTAGGTAATACCAACAATATAGTATGGCGGTAATTAGTATGGTGGAGGATGTAATGGTGGGTGCACCAGATGTGAGAATCTAGCTGTCATACTGACATTCGTTGCACTCAGTTTGCTATCAAACTCAAGAAAACTTAGAAATCTCCTCCTCAAACCTACAAGTCACCATACATATCTTGGCTTATTGTAATGGTGGGTGCACCAGATGTGAGAATCTAGCCACCCAAGGAAGGGATGAATTTACTAAGACAACACACTGTCTTAGAAAACAGAGCCAAAGGGTCATAGCTTAGACTATTCCACAACGCAGCAATCAGGTGTGTGATGTAGTGAAGTGGTTCAGACAAGTTGCAACAAATGTTGAGTCTGGGAACTCAGGGGTAAGTCAGAGGTTAACACACTGACTTTTCAGAAACAAGGAGTAACAAGATGAATGCTTGGAAGCTTGGAAAAGACGTGGAAGTATGTGATAGTCGATTTACTGTATTGTCTGCTTGCCCTTTCTTAAGGAAAGGGCAATCCTATTTATGCTAAAGGAGTGTAGTTCTCTCATTTTCCAAGACTTTCCATGATTACCAGGCTTGGTAACTGTAGTCGACGTAAGAGAATCCCATAGAACCATCTCTTAGGTTCGTAGCCTATAGGAAGTAAAAGGAGGTCCAAGGTCAGAGTACCCTATAGACAAATTATGTCATAGACAAATTATGTCATAGACAAATTATGTCATAACTTAACCAATCTTGTGGGTAACTAAAGAGCGATGACATGTAATGAATCATAGAGGTTCGTAGGAGCTTTTAGAGCTATCGTTCATGCTCCTAGGCCTTTAGTTGGTAGAGATATGTCATGTGGTAGTATGAGTGATGTCATGTAATGAATCATAGAGGGTTGTAGAGATATGCTATGTGGTCATATCGGCCCAGTAACTAAGGAGCGATGACGTGTAATGAAATCATAGATGGTTGTAGCAATCGTTGAGTAGTATTGCTCTTGTGTTGGTGTGATAAGCCAAATATGTATAGTGACTTGTAGGTTTGAGGAGGAGATTTCCAAGTTTGCTCTTGAGTTTGATAGCAAACTGAGTGCAACGAATGTCAGTATGACACTTATCACACCAACAACAGAAGCAATACTACTCAACGATTGCTGCAAACTCTTCTACTACATCTGTTTATGCTACATACATCACGGCATATCATTTGAACACTCATTAAACAAGTTATTAAGAAAATCTCCTCCTTAAGGGGGTGGGCCAATACTACCACATGGCATATATCTACCAACTAGAGGCCTAGGAACATGAACGATAGCTCTAGAAGCTTCTACAACCCTCTGATTCATTACACGTCATCGCTCCTTAGTTACCCACAAGATTGGTTAAGTTATGACATAATTTATCTATAGGTACTCTGACCTTGGACCTCCTTTTCACTTCCTATAGGCTAGGAACCCAAGAGATGGTTCTATGGGATTCTCTTACGTTCACTACATGATTAGCAAGCTAGTTTGTGGTCGCACTTGATTTCTAATACATTTACCAAGCCTGGTTAGTCATGGAAAGTCATGGAAAATGAGAGAACTACACTCCTTTGGCATAAATAGGATTGCCCTTTCCTTAAGAAAGGGCAAGCAGACAATACAGTAAATCGACTAGCACATACTTCTACGTCTTTTCCAAGCTTCCAAGCATTGATCTTGTTATTCTCTGTTTTTGAAAAGTCAGTGAGGTGCTAACCTCTGACTTACCCCTGAGTTCTCAGACTCAACATTTGTTGCAACTTGTCTGAACCACTTCACCACATCATACACCTGATTGCTGCGTTGTGGAATAGTCTAAGCTACAACCCTTTGGCTCTGTTTCCTAAGACAGTGTGTTGTCTTAGTAAATCATCCCTACACTTGGGTGGCTAGTGTAAATGGTGGGTGCACCAGATATGAGAATCTAGCCACCCAAGGAAGGGATGAATTTACTAAGACAACACACTGTCTTAGAAAAACAGAGCCAAAGGGTCATAGCTTAGACTATTCCACAACGCAGCAATCAGGTGTGATGTAGTGAAGTGGTTTAGACAAGTTGCAACAAATGTTGAGTCTGAACTCAGGGGTAAGTCAGAGGTTAGCACCTCACTGACTTTTCAAAAACAGAGAATAACAAGATGAATGCTTGGAAGCTTGGAAAAGACGTAGAAGTATGTGCTAGTCGATTTACTGTATTGTCTGCTTGCCCTTTCTTAAGGAAAGGGCAATCCTATTTATGCCAAAGGAGTGTAGTTCTCTCATTTTCCATGACTTTCCATGACTAACCAGGCTTGGTAAATGTATTAGAAATCAAGTGCGACCCACAACTAGCTTGCTAATCATGTAGTGAACGTAAGAGAATCCCATAGAACCATCTCTTGGTTCCTAGCCTATAGGAAGTGAAAAGGAGGTCCAAGGTCAGAGTACCTATAGATAAATTATGTCATAACTTAACCAATCTTGTGGGTAACTAAGGAGCGATGACGTGTAATGAATCATAGAGGGTTGTAGAAGCTTCTAGAGCTATCGTTCATGTTCCTAGGCCTAGTTGGTAGATATATGCCATGTGGTAGTATTGGCCCACCCCCTTAAGGAGGAGATTTTCTTAATAACTTGTTTAATGAGTGTTCAAATGATATGCCGTGATGTATGTAGCATAAACAGATGTAGTAGAAGAGTTTGCAGCAATCGTTGAGTAGTATTGCTTCTGTTGTTGGTGTGATAAGTGTCATACTGACATTCGTTGCACTCAGTTTGCTATCAAACTCAAGAGCAAACTTGGAAATCCCTCCTCAAACCTACAAGTCACTATACATATTTTGGCTTATCACACCAACAACAAGAGCAATACTACTCAACGATTGCTACAACCATCTATGATTCATTACACGTCATCGCTCCTTAGTTACTGGGCCGATATGACCACATAGCATATCTCTACAACCCTCTATGATTCATTACATGACATCACTCATACTACCACATGACATATCTCTACCAACTAAAGGCCTAGGAGCATGAACGATAGCTCTAAAAGCTCCTACGAACCTCTATGATTCATTACATGTCATCGCTCTTTAGTTACCCACAAGATTGGTTAAGTTATGACATAATTTGTCTATGACATAATTTGTCTATGACATAATTTGTCTATAGGGGTACTCTGACCTTGGACCTCCTTTTACTTCCTATAGGCTACGAACCTAAGAGATGGTTCTATGGGATTCTCTTACGTCGACTACAGTTACCAAGCCTGGTAATCATGGAAAGTCTTGGAAAATGAGAGAACTACACTCCTTTAGCATAAATAGGATTGCCCTTTCCTTAAGAAAGGGCAAGCAGACAATACAGTAAATCGACTATCACATACTTCCACGTCTTTCCCAAGCTTCCAAGCATTCATCTTGTTACTCCTTGTTTCTGAAAAGTCAGTGAGGTGTTAACCTCTGACTTACCCCTGAGTTCCCAGACTCAACATTTGTTGCAACTTGTCTGAACCACTTCACTACATCACACACCTGATTGCTGCGTTGTGGAATAGTCTAAGCTATGACCCTTTGGCTCTGTTTTCTAAGACAGTGTGTTGTCTTAGTAAATTCATCCCTTCTTGGGTGGCTAGATTCTCACATCTGGTGCACCCACCATTACAATAAGCCAAGATATGTATGGTGACTTGTAGGTTTGAGGAGGAGATTTCTAAGTTTGCTCTTGAGTTTGGATAGCAAACTGAGCAACGAATGTCAGTATGACAGCTAGATTCTCACATCTGGTGCACCCACCATTACATCCTCCACCATAATTACCGCGCCATACTATATTGTTGGTATTACCTAGGCCTTAGCATGCTATCCTATTACACCCTTACATAAGGAAGGATGGAGGTCTTTAGGCCAGAAGCCTTAAATAGATACTGTATAGGGTTGCTAGGTAGTCGCCTAATTAATAGAAGGACTTAGAGGTTTTCATCTCTCATTTCTACATATTCACCTTAGATATTCCCAAGTCTTTTTCACATAGTAATAGCATAGGAATAGGTTAGAAGAAGTGATAGTTTGCTAGTATAGAGTGCTGACACTAAATAGAATATTAGTGCATGTTTAAAATCATCTAATATATTAACAATGTATTCGTATAAAATTTAGGGCTTTACTTACATTTTCTAAGGTGACAAGTTAAAAGGCTACATGAACCTTCTTGGTTCTAACATGCTATCCTGCTTATAAAACAGGTGGAGGATAGAAAGAATGAAACTAAATGTTGTTAATACTTTACTAATACATTAACAATGTATTCATAGCTATTTGCTTGTTTTGAATAGACTTAGTGATATTTTCTTGCTAGAGCTGAATAATCTTTTTCCAATTGTCGTCATATAGCCTTATATGGTGCATTTCCTGTAACTGTAGATGAAGATATTCACAATGTTTTATACCTATGCAAATATAAGTCATCCTTTTACAATAAGCATTGTTAAGGGTGCTACAATGGGTTGGCTTTAGTGGCTGAAGTTGTTTATGGCAATATTAGACCTATAATGCATTAATAATGCATTAATAACACATTAACAATGAACACACATTATTACACATAGCATACACTGTTTCTGGTGTCATTAACGAAGTATTGATGATATAGGCGACCCCATTTTCAGATGTTTCGGGGTATTTGGTAAATCTGTTGTATAGTTTACCTTCATTACCCGGGTTGCTTTGTTACTAAAACATCGCTTGAAATAACTGTGTTGTTTCGATCTTAATGCATTAGTAATGCATTAGCTTAAGTATATACGGGGTTTTATGTTCATAAGTTTTTTTTGTGAGTGGGGGGGCTATAAAACCGTTTTCCGTTTGTCGCCCTACCTGACCATATCATGTGTTGCTACGCGAGCTTAGCTGGCCAACGTGGCAGGTTTAGTCATAAAAGTGGAGCATTTCCCAGATCAGCTGAGCCAACGCCTGAGGGTCAGCTCACCCGTGTACTTGGCAAGGTCTGGAAAAATAATCCTAGTTTTTTTCAAAGGTCCCACGAGTTTGTTCGGAAATTGTTAATGTTATAGTCCGCAGTAGAGAGCGCCACAGCGGAGGCGACAGCCGAAGGACCTTGCAAGCGTAGGGCATCTTGTCAGCGTGTGGGTGCTTTGCGTCCCCTGAGTCTCCCAGGGAAATGGGTGGTGGGTACTATGGAGGAGTAAAGACCAGATGAAGAAGGGGGTTGAGACATTGCGGGGACGATGGGTGAGGAAAGGAGGAAAGGAGGTGAGATGGGATGGAGTAAGAGATGGGAAGTAAGAGATGGGATGGGATGCAGTATGGGATGCAGGATGGGATGGCAGTATGGGATGCAGTAGGATGGGGGCAGTATGGGATCAGTATGGATGCAGTAGGATGGGGCATGGGATGGGAAGTAAGATGGATAGTAAGATGGGATAGTAAGATGGGATAGTAAGATGGGATAGTAAGATGGGATAGTAAGGTAGTAAATGGGATAGTGCATGCAGTAACCCTGCTGTTCGATGAGATATTGACATACCGTCACTTTTCATCATATGATGGACTGATATGATGGACTGATATGATGGACTGATATGATGGACTGATATGATGGACTGATATGATGGACTGATATGATGAACTATCAGTTCATCATATCTGTACCAGGGCCTGGATCCCACACACATTTATTATGCGATGTTGTGTGTTCATTATTGTGTCACGCGACAAGGCAACGTACCAGCCAACACTACTTCCCCTTCTCCTCTTTGTAACGTGTATCCGCCACAAGGCAAACGTACAGCCAACACTACTTCCCCCTTCTCCTCTTTGTAACGGTGTATCCGCCATTTATCGGCGGTTGACTCACTCGCTGCTTTGGCGCGTTATTACGAGGAGGCGTGTAGCACAGCCCCTTCCAAAAGCAATCCAGTGGGTGGAGTTGCGGTGAGATTTCCACCATAGAGAATCCATACAACATCCATAGCATCATTTAACGAGTCTGGGCACTCGTGATGGTGCGTGTATGGGTGCATCACATATATATGGTACTATGTATTCATATACTCGCAATAACTCTACACTCCTGTATGGTGTACGTATGAATACATACCCCCGTATGTACCATACGGCATACACCACCTTTTTGTCTCTCTGCTTCTCTGCTCCTATAATAACCCCGTCTGCACCATCCTTTCTCCCCTCGCAGCTTCACTGCTAGAACATAGAAAGTAGACCTATATCACATCACATCACATCACAGCACATCACTTCACGCACATCACATCACATCACATCACTTCACTCACTTCACATCACTTCACTTCACTTCACATCACTTCACATCACTTCACTTCACTTCACATCTCTCATCGCTACTTAAAAGGAGTCTGTCCCAAATAGTGAAAACTGTTGTTACAAACTCTTGACATCCAGCCTTTGAACTGTCCTGTGTGTGCTCGTGACCTTGGGTCGTTCTTACCATACATAGTCCCAATCCCGATTGCCCTGACGATTCCACAACGGGAAAGACTAGCATCATCATATCACCACAAACTCGCGTCGATCCCTCATTCTCAATCCTCAAATGTTCGTCCCCCTCCCCAACACTTCACCCCCTTCCTCCACAAATATTCAAAACAGGATTCGAATATTGACATTTTTGATTGCCAGGGGCCGAAGAGATTACGACTCGTTCCAGGTATCGCAGCGTTCCAACGCTCTCGCCTTCGGGCGCGCCATGTCTTCTCAGCCTCGTCGCCCTACGGAGCCTCGTCCATAAACCTCAAGTTCCGCGCCCATGCCTCCGTTCTCGCACAGGTCGACGGCAACGGGCCCGCACGACCGCGCGGCCTCGTCGGTCCGCCCATGGGCGGCTTAGGCGGAGATGGAGGAGCGCTGGGAAAGAGACAGAACATCAGATCCCTCATAACGCCGGAGATGAACATGTCAGCTCGGCGTGCTCGGGTAGAGGGCGTCAACGTGGTTGTTAGGCAGAAGCGCAGGCCGTCTTCGACGTCGGTGAGGTCAGTTGCGTCGTCCGTCCGCTCGCGGGAGGATGCAGGGACCGAAGCCGACGCTGCTTAGCCTCCCGACCGAGGTCTTGGTGTTATATTCAAGGACTTTGAGCAGAAGGAGCTGCGCGATGTCATGCTGGTGCACTCGGCTTTGACGGAGGCTGCGGCGAACTTGATGTACCACACCCCTCTGTTCGCATCGACCTACCGCTTTGCGCAGTTCGCGTATACGGTCAGCCACCAGAAACACTATGGTGATAGGGTGAGGGTGCTGGATGCCAGCGGGTTTGCGCAGGTTGCGCAGTTTGAGAGACAGCCGGAGGCGGGGTGGAGGGAGTGGAAGTTTAGGAACCATGATCTTTATCAGGGAAGATCGAGGCTGCATGTGCCGGAGAGTAGGCCGACGAGGAGGCGGATGACACACAGGAAACATCCACAGCCGAACCCCTTCCTCGAGGCCTGGGCACTCTCTCGTGATATCCCACTCGGTGGATTATGCCACGCCATTCAATCATGCCAGTACCTCAAGTAAGTCGACACCATCCAGAGAACAAACTCGAGCAAGAGACTAACATCTACAGCACCATCAACATCTCCCGCATCCAACTCGCCGAGGACTTCCTCATCGTCGACGACAACTCCCCCCTCCGCCTGGACAGACACCATCTACGTCTCCGACCTCCCCAAATCCTGGTCCTGGAACTCCCAAGAGCTCCGTCCCATCTACAACATCTACATCATCGACCAGCTGCGCAAGCTGAAGCACCTCGAGACCGTCATCGCCAACAACGGCGTCTTCCTGAGCACGCTGATGATCCAGGAGCTGGTCGATGGCGCGCACCCGAGCCTCAAGTACGTCGACTTCGAGCACTCGGGCATGGCGCGCTCGAAGCCTTGGGCGATTAAGGGAACGAGAGAGCAGGTTGTGAAGGTTATTAGGGATATGGAGAAGACGACCCGGCGGAGCCCGGATCCGAGGAGGACCTATTTGACTCGTGGCTGAGCATTAGCTTTTCGGCGAGAATTTGTGGTTCTCGGTCAGGTTTTTTGGCCACGACAGGGAATTGGGTTGGGTTTGATTTAGCGGGTGTTTATACATAGAAGGGGGGGACTGGCGAAATGGTTGGACAATCCTCAACTAACATTGAGCTCTCTGGATTAGGAGAGCGAGAGATCATATTATTTAGTAATTAGCTATAATCCAACGCGCCCCGTGGCAGCATTTTTGAAGCAGACGACTGAAGAGTTATAAATGTGACATGTGTATGCCTATGAGAGGTTCGGCAGTTTTATTAGTAATTGAGGATACCTAGTTGCTCTCTAATATGATATTTACAGCATGCGAGAAGCTCATTTCCATGTGTAGTTTGTGGCGATCCTTTTCAAAAAGCTCAGCTCAGGGAGGCAAGGCTGACAACTGCGAATGGGGGGCTGATGTGGGTGCTCACTTGTCAAGCCCCATCCATGGTAGCCTCACGCCTTACACGCAACGGATCCCGGAAGCTATCTTCACAACCACAACGCTCTGGGCCTCGAAATAACCTGATCCAGACAGTATTGTGACCATGGCATCCGCCAGCTCCTCCCAAGTCGAAAAAGAGGTCAACACGCTCCTCCACCAGCAAGAAGACTCCGCCAAACATGTCCGCCCAACAGACCCCTCAGCCGTCGACACCATCATCACCAAACTCTTCACCTCCAACATCGGCAGCATAGCCATCCGCGAGCTCAGCCAGCGCCTCATCCTCCTCGTGCAAACCCCCGACTTCGCCCTCAACGACCGAATCGAAATATGCACCACCCTGCTCGGCAAAATCGAACAGTACCAAGCCTCCCAAGAAGAGCAGATCGCGGAGCTCCGCATGATCCTCGCAAACACCTACGAAGCACTCGATGACTTCCACTCCGCTGCCCAGATGCTCGCCGCTATCCCGCTCAACTCCTCGCAGCGCAAGATCAGCTCGGAAGACAAAGCAGCGACGCTAATCCGCATCGTGCGTCTGCACCTCGAATGCGACGACCCCACCTCCGCCGAAACCTACCTCAACAAATTCAAAAACATCATGCACGAAGTCACCAACCCAACCTCGCTCATCCACTTCCAAGTCTCCCAAGCCCGCATCCAAGACTCCCGCCGCGACTTCCTCGCCGCAGCAAAAGGCTACGAAGACATCAGCCACGACCCCTCCATCGGCGAAGACGAGCAACTCCACACCCTCTCCATGGCACTAAATGCGCCGTCCTCGCCCGCCGGCCCGCCCGCTCGCGCGCCCTAAATCGTCTCTACAGCGACGAGCGCGCGCCGCAGTTGGAGGAGTTTGCGATCTTGGAGAACATGCACCTGCAGCGTGTGATTGCGCCGGGCGAGATCGCGAAGTTCGCGGAGGGGCTGCAGGAGCACCAACTTGCGCGGATGAGTGATGGGTTGACGGTGCTGGATAGGGCGATGTTTGAGCATAATCTTTTGGCGGCCAGTAGGCTGTAT